GAAAAAGATTTGAAACATAATAGAATCTACATATAGACTCCCTTTCTTCTCGAATAGGAGACTGAGAACAGGCTTCTGTAGTCTGTCAGGACTCCCCTACACTGCCCATCCACATGTCATGCTTCCCCACCATTCATAGTCAGAGTTTGGGGTTTGTTAAAGAAACTTTTTATTTGGGGATAAATTTAGATTTACAGTTACAATTACAAATATAGTATAAAAAGTTTCTCTATATCCTTCAGCCAGTTTCCCTGAATTAACACAAACATGGTACATTTGTCAAAACTAAGGAATTACTAATGGTGCATTACTATTAACTACAGTCCAGATCTTACTTGTATTTCACCAGTTTTTCTACTAAGGTCTATTTTCCAATCCAAGACTCAATTCAGGGTGCCATACCATGCCTGCTTAGTGTCTTCTGTTTTGTGACACTTTCTGTCTTTCTTGGTTTTCACAGCCTTATGGGTCTTGAAGAGTGTTAGTCAGTTGGGTTTTTTTTAGAAGATCAGAGCTTTTAATTCACTAACTTCAGCCATCCCCTCTTCTTTTTTCTCCAGCATGGACTGGACAATATAGAGGCAATAGGTTATACTGCAAAGTGTCCTGAGTCTATTCTATTCCAGGTCCCAGTGTGTTCTGCAGAACAGAGATAGGACATCTGACAGTTCTGTCTGCTTGAGCCCATTAGTAGCAGTTCGTGAGGTTTTCCAGGCAGACCTTTCAACTAAGAAACCAACTTTTGTCCTCCATGACAAAGTCGAATGTCAGATTGCCACTCTATGCATTCCATTTGAAAATTGGCAGGTAACATACTTATGTCTACTGAAAATGGAGTCACAAATGTAACAAAATATTTATTATTTTCCCAGAAATCTTGAAATCTGTTTTCAAATTCTTGTATCAAATCGAAAAGCAAGGCTGCATTTTTGCTCTTTGTAGTACTATGTTTAGCCAGCCTGTCGAAATGCATAAAATTGTGTGCCTTAATTTGAGTTTGCCAGAATTTCAGTTTCATTTGGAACGCTGCTATGGTTTGAAACATGGTATTGATAAGTTGGTTTTCACCTTCAAGATGCATGTTTAACTCATTTAAATGAGTGGTTAAATCCATTAAAAAAGGCTAAATCTGTAAGCCAGTTTTTATCATCAAGTTCTGGCACAAATTTGTTTTTTGATACCATAAACAGCTTGATAACATGTCGCAAATCATAAAACCTTTTCAACATTTGGGCTCAACTTAGCCATATTACTTCTGAAAAGTAAATGATGTCATCATAGTCAGCATCAATACTTTTAAGGAATTCCTGCAATTGGCGATGATTCAATCCCTTGGCTCTTATGCAATGCAGTCTTGATGATGATTTGAGTGACATTATCTACTTTTAAAGCTTTTGTGCATAAATTTTCTTGATGTACTATGCAATGATACTTTGTCAAACATGAATTTTGGGACACAATTGTATTGTCTTCTATTAATTTTACAAGTCTTATCTTTTATCCATCATCATCAGGACACCATCAGTAACTACACCAGATATGTTGACAATGGACAAAGAAAATCATTTTAACAATTATTTTTTTTACTGCTTCATATAAATCTCTTGATTTAGTTGTGTCTTTTTATGGCACTAACGAAGCCATTTCTTCAGTGACATTATATAAATCATCAGTACTCCTAATAAAGATGGCAAGTTGAGCTGTTTCTGTAGCATCAGTGCTATCATCCATCACATAAGCATAATATTTTAAATTAGCAGCTTTACTCTCCAAACTTCTTTCGACAGATTTTCCAGTTCTTCAATTCACCCAGCTATAGTCTGGTGAGACAAACTGGCTTTAGAAATATCCTTATTTTTTTCAGGGCAAATTACATCTGCCATGTTTTCTATACATTGTTTAATAAACTCACCATCAGTAAGTGGTTTTGACTTTTTTGCTGTTAAATATACTACTGCATAACTAGCTTTTACAATGGAATCCATCTGAGTTGTAACTTCTTGGAAAATTTTTTATGGAGAAGACAGACTTTTTTTCAGTTCTGCTATTTTGTCCTTAACGACATAATCCTTCATACGCATTGAATTTGGCAGCATGTTTTTGCATATAATGCCTTTTCAAATTATAGCCTTTGAAAACTTGAACAAATTTCCTATAAATTAAGCAGAGTGCCTGACTATTTGCCTTGACAAAAAAGTAGTCATCTGTCCACTTTTCATTAAACAATCTTCCTTCATCCATAATTTTTCTTTTCAGGAGTTCTTTTTTCTTTTGAGACATTGTAGAAGCCATGCTGGAAATTAAAAAAATAATAATAGATAACCAACTTTATTTACTTTTATTATGAAAATTAATAGACAAGAAAATAGAAAGCAAGGTTTGGGCCCTTCCACCGCCCCCTCGGCTGCTGATACAGGGCGAGGCAGAGGGCTGATTGTAAAGTATGGCAGGCAATGTGTGAGGCACCACCGAGGTGTGGAAGTGCCTCTAATAATCAAATAAAAATGCTTACCTGACTTCTAAATAACACCAAACACCTAATGTTGCAATGGTACATTGAAATATTACTGATAATCGCTGTCTTACTAAGTCACCATGAGCACATGTAATGTCTGATGGTGTCAATTCTGTCTGCACTTGGAAGATAACACACTGGAAACCACACTGCTGTAAAACTGAAGCCATGCAAGTGTACAAATAGTAAGAGTATACGTATGATTATTTTGCGTGATGTTGTGACACAAAATCACAAAAAAAATCTCATTACATTTTAAGTAAATTTATGATTTTGTGTTAGGCCACATTCAATTCATAGCCATCCTGGGCCACATGCAACTGGGGGCCATGGGTTGGACAACCAGCACTAGAGAGATTCCTCATTATCATGGCCTGATACCAATGACCAATGTGTTCAAGACAAGAACATTAAGGACACTGATCCTTCAGGAATGAAGATTTGGTTCATATCACCAGGAAAAGAACACTGGAGTACCAATGTACTGGCAGTGAGTGAGGGGAATTTGGAATGAGTGGCAACATTGGTCTTAGAGTCAATTACCAAGGTGGGAACTCTTGCAGCTATGAATGTGTTATGTTAATTTATCTATGTGTGTATTATTGAACATGTACCAAAACAATCCTGTGGTGTATGCACTGACATCCTAATTTAATAGATTAATCAACTGAAGCTCAGCAAGATGGCGTGTAGCTAGTAAACAGCAGGATTAACACTGAATCCGTATCCGCCTTATCATGAGATCTCTGCTTTTCTACCCCTTTTGACAGTGGCTTACTCAGTGCCTGCTGGAAACAACAAAGGGTCTGCAAGGATGAGGAGTCCTTTTCTGAGTGTCTGCAGATTCACCTACTGATCTCTTTTTCGATTTTTTTCACTTTGCTTTCTGGGACTATGTTTCTGAAATCACATCAGAGTACAGTGGCACAATTGGGACATTAGGTGTTGCCTGATATAAATGCACTAAGCAAATGCTTTTAAAAAGATTGGAAATTACAAAAAAGCAGGAAATGTTTTTAGGTTTGCTAAGTCTATAGAAAATATCACGCAAAGTTCAACTGATGTTTTTACTTAAATTATACAGGGACTGAAAAAGAAAAAAGATTGTCTGAGTTGGAAGGAATTGGGAACTCTTTGAGCCTCCCCACCATTCCTCTTCTCTCTTTCTTCCTCTACATCTTATGACCACAACCCTGCACTGCTCCTACAACCACTGCCTGAACGGACAGGGTGGCCTGTTATTTCTGAGCTGTCACTAAAAGAGGGTCTTCCCCGGACCTTTTACTCAGTGCGCCTATGCTAACTTACTCTATTCAAGCAACTCACTTCACTCCATTCAGTCTCAGTGGCCTCTCCTGTAATATAAATTTAATGACCCCCAAATCACTAAATTATTACATAATTATAATACTATAACCAGATATATCAGCACTATTCACAATAGACAAAAGGTGGAACCCACCTAAGTGTCCATCGACAGATAAATGGATAAACAAAATGTACAGGCATACAATAGAAATTATTCAGCCTTAAAAAGAAAGGAAATCCTATCACATGTTATAACATGGAGGAAACGACGTTATTATGTGAAGTGAAATAAGTCATACAAAAGGACAAATACTGTATGATTCCACTTCTATGAGACACCTACAGTAGTCAATTTCAGAGGAAGAGAATAGAATGGTGGTTGCGATGGCTGAAAGGAGGGGCGAATGGGCAATCATTGTTTAATGGGCACAGAGGTTCAGTTTGGCAAGACGAAAAAAGTTATGTGGATAGCCGGTGGTGATGGCTGCACAACAATGTGAACGTATTTAATGCCACTGAACCATACATCTAAAAAGGGTTATGATGGTAAATCTTATGTTAGGGGTATTTTTAGCACAATTTTTAAAATAAATAACCTAAGAAAGTCCCTAGCTCTGTGACAACACAGTTGGTGCTCAGTAACTGTCAATTCCCTTCTTACCAACTCACTGGTGTGATACATACCTTAGAGTCATGCAAAATAAGTCTCTTATATCCTGATGTTAAAACAATATCAAGTCTCCTGAAAGGGAACTGTGTCGAAAGTAGGAAGCAGGTGGTGGCGACTGAGAAAGCGCTCCAGGCTCTCTTTTCTCCATCCAAACCCCCTCAAGAGCAGCGCCCACGCGTGCGCACAGCACGTCGGCGTACGGAGATGTACCCCCCCCCCTCCCATCTAGTAGATACCATATTTTAATTTAAATTAGATAATGAGGACATGGGAGGGGGCGCAAAGCAAGAAGCAAATCTGCAAAGCTTTGTCTCTGACCCAGACTCCCAGAAGAACTAGGCCAGGCGCCAGCAGCTTCAAACCCAGGGGGCGCCCCAACTCCGCCTTCTCTGCTTGCACCTCCTCCTGTGCTTCCCCTGCTTCGCTCCGCTCCACCCCTTAAGTTTCCCCTCCTCCCCTAACTCCTCCCAGTCTCTCCCCTCGGCCCGCCTCCCTTTCAGACCTGCCCCTTGCAGGAAATAGAAAGTGAAATTGAAAGCTAGCTGCCATCCCTTGAGTCCCTTGAAAAGGTGAGTGAACCATCCTGGACCGAGGTACCCCAGCCCAGATCTGAAGATCCCCTTCCAACCAGTACCCCCTTCCCTGGAGCCTTGGGGGTCAGTTTCCCCCTCTCCGCAGCAGGGCTTGCTCATTCCGAGCCCAGCAGTTCTTCCCGCGCTGGTGGGTCTGCCTGGGCGAGGCTGGGCTGTGAACGGCATTTCCAAGTCACACGGAAGGAGCTAGGGCTGTCCTGCTCTTTCCACCAGAGCTGGGGCTAGGGCCGACGGAAGCTGAGAAAAACGGGGATGGAAACCTACCGGGAGGGTGGTCCAGAGGAGCCCGGTGTGGGGGAGGTATGTGATGAGAGCCCTATCCACCAAAGTCCCCCTCTGGAGGAGCAAGACGCAAGCTGTTTAGGATGTCAGAAATGTAAGGGTCTGTGCCCTGGAGGAAATGAAGACTGCTGCCAGGTTGGAGTAGCTGAGGGAGGAGGCCAGGGAGTGCTGACCACATAACGTGTGTTATAAACACAGACACATGCATATATTATACATATATACACACATACAGATTGTATATGTTTATATGAATATATAAGAATAAATGTTCTTTTTCTTCTTTTTAGTTCTTTAGTACAGATTTATTTTTAATTAAATTTATTGGGGTAACATTTGTTAATAACATTGTACACATTTCAAGTGTACAACATTCCAATTCAATGTCTGCAGGCTTACCACCCAAAGCCTAGTTTCCTTCCATTACCATATATTGTAGCTTCTTTTCCCACTTCACCCTCCCCTATCCCTCTTCCCCTGTGGTAACCACTATACTGTTCTCCGTGTCTATGAGTTCATTTTCCTTTGTCTTGTATTTTCTTTCAGTACTTTTAGTTTTAATCCCACATATAAGTGAAATCATGTTTTTGTCCTCTTCTGTCTGACTTACTTTAGTTGGCCTAATACTCTCAAGATCCATCCCTGTCGTTGAAGAATAAATATTCTTATGTATATATTCATATACATATAGGTCCATTGCCGTTTTTGAAGATTAATGAAGATGTGGGCAAAGCATGTTGCACCTTCTCTGGCACATGGAAGGCTCATGGTCAATGGTCACTATTTTTATGGATGGAAAAAGCCTGGGCACTGAGAGTTTAAGCAGAGATGGACATGATGGAAGTAACAGCCCTATCTCTGAGCTTCCCGACAGTTGTCACTGTCTTTTTTGGGGACCCAGTTATCCCTTCTATTTGACTGGATCAATGAACATGACTGTGAAGGAGAAGGTCTTATTATTCAGGTTAATGTTCTTGTGTTGTTTTAACCCCCTCCCGTTCACTTTCCCTCATATCTTCCTTTGAATTGTTTTGTTTTTCTCACACAGCCTTTCTCATCTTCTCCCTAACTCTTCTTTTCTCTCCACTAGGTTATCTCAAGCTCTCCACAGTGCTGCTTAATAGGCACATTTCCCCAATGGCCTCAGCAATTCCCTTGGCAATGATGTGGGAGGAAGCCACGTGCCCTATATGCCTGGATCCCACAGTGGTGCCAGTGAGCATTGACTGTGGCCACAGCTTCTGCCAGGAATGCATCACTCAAGTCGGAAAAGATGGGGGCGGGCCCTGTCCTGTGTGCCGGAAAAAATTCCTGCTCAAGCACATCCGGCCCAATCTCCAGCTAGCCAACATGGTGGACAACCTAAAACAAATCAGCCAAGATGCCCAGAAGGGCACAAAGGGGGAGCTCTGTGAGGTGCATGGAGAGAAACTTCACCTATTCTGTGAGAGAGATGAGAAGCCTCTTTGCTGGGTATGTTCCCAGTCCCGGAAACACCGTGACCACCCCATGGTCCCAATTGAGGAGGCTGCTCAGGAGTACCAGGTGAGGCCTTGGCATGCAGGCATGAAAGGAGATGGAGTCCTAATGGGTGCTTTGTTCCCCAGAGCTGGGAATGGGAGAGAATTGCCTAAAGAGTTGAGGGATTGGAGAAAGGAAAGGTGTTCCCCACCTTCTGTGTCTAATTTAAGGCTGATCACAACTTTCTCATTCCTCAGGAGCAGGAGAGATGCTATGGGAAAATGTTGCAAGGATCATGTTTCCTTGTGGCTTCCTGGTTAATGAGGAATGAGTAGTGCCCCATTCCTGCCATCCCAATAGTGTGGCTCTTTTCTCAGACATGTGAGGCTTTTCCCAAAGTATTCCCGTCCACAAAATTCATACGCCAATCAGATTCGAGTCCTTCTTCTTTCTTTGCCCTCAGGCTTTTCTAAGAACTGGTATGATCTTTCCTCACCTCACACCACACAACACTCATTCTTGGTCTGGTTAGGCATTAACCTGGTATCTTCCTCTGTAGGAGAAGCTCCAGATGGCGTTAAAGAAACTGAGAAAAGAGCAAGAGTGTGTTGAGAAGCTGGAAGTGGATGTTGCAATGAAGAGAACAGCCTGGAAGGCAAGAGTCACATCCCAAAAGGAATCTTAGATCAAACACCTAGGGAGGGTCCAGGGTCCTAGCCTCAAGAAAACCCTAACCATAGCTTTACCTGTCAGAGGAGTGATCAAGTCAACATGTGTCCCTCTTCAAGAACAAACAGTACTCTTAATCTCCTGATAGAGGGAAATAAAAAGTATGGAGCTCAAGGAGAGCTTCCAATCAGATACAAAGATCAAAGTCTTAAGAGAAGGTGCTGAGGAAAAAGCCACCTCCTAAAGCTCTTTCTCCTTAAGCCCAGTCTTAAGGGATGATCGTAGCAGTGCTTTGGTATCCAAAACAGCTGTCCCAGGAGAGATATGGCTAAGCCTTGTCAGGAACTGACCGGGGCTGTGAGGAACAGATTTAAGGAAACCAAGAAGGCCTGAGGCAGGAAAACCAGTCTGACAAGACGGGTTGCTTGACTGTGTCCAGATCACTGGTCCAAATCAGAATGGAGAACTAAAGCTTATTCTGCACTGGTGATTTGGAGGTGGGTTGGATCAGAGATAGAGAGGGGTGGAAGGAACTCGTGGCTAGTAGATATAAGAGGAAGATTTGGGACCAAGGGGAGGTGAACAAAGCTTTGATAGCAAGAGGGCCAATCCTGTGTCCTCGGGTGACCTAATCACTACCACAAGAAGGCAAGCAAAGGATATCACCAAGGCTTTCTTTCCCTAGGATGTAAGGATGATGTGTGCTTGTCTTTGTGAGGTTGTTCACGGAGGAACAGGTGTTACTTTCCCAGTAACACTGAGATATGAAAACAAAAGAACACATTTGGGTGCTGACTGGGTTTTGAGAGAAGTTGAGGAAAGTCCCTGATTCCATGGGCTGATACAGCTATTCTAGGGCAGCTACAGTGTGGCCACCACCAATCCTATCCCCTTCTTAATCCCAGAATCCTGACCCACTCACTTCCCCAGCAAAATGTGTACATGTATGTTTATTCCCAGACAGAGCCAGAGTGATGAGTCTACAGGGAGTAGAAGTGGGTATGGACACCTCCATTCTCAAAGCCTAGGAGATTTGAATAAAAACCACCTCTCTCTTTTCATTGACACCAAAGAAAAAGGTTGAGACACACAAGTTGCGACTTCACGCAGAGTTCGAGCAGCAGAGAAACTTCCTGGCTGAAGAGGAACAGAGGCAACTACAGAAGCTAGAGAGGGAAGAGGGGGAAGAGCTGAAGATCCTGGGGGAGACAGAGACCAAGCTGACCCAGCAGAGCGAGGCTCTGCAGGAGCTGATCTCAGAGCTGGAGAGGAGAAGCCGGAGCTCAAAGCTGGAGCTGCTGCAGGTGAGACTGGGGAGAGGTTTGCACTCTGTCCTCAAGGAGGAACCAAACAGAAGTCAGAGCTCTCTGGGGCTACCATCACAGCAAACAGAAATCCAGTCCCTGGAATTTCCTTAAATAAAACAAACTGGAATTCGGAACCATGAGTGGTTTGCAATCAAGGCATGGAATATACAGATTTAGGAGAGAGTATTCCATGCAGCAATTTTTAAGAAACGGACATCTCTGGTAAATGCCGGCTCCAACTTGTACCAGGTTCATGACCTTGAGGAAGGTCCTTAATCTTTCTGAGTATCAGGTTTCTCACAGCTAAATGGTAATTAAAACATTACATATCTCCAAGAATTTTTGTGAGGATTAAATGAGAGAACCCATTAAGACTCTTTGATGAGTGCCTGGCCATGGGAAGGTTTTCAAAAAACTAAAAGTACTGAACTCAAAATTCAGAGATAGCCCAGCCCCAGCTCTGTTACCAGTTTTCTCCATGACTCTAGGGTAAGCCATTTTTAACTTTCTTAGATGTAATTTATCCATTTGTGAAACAAGAGAGAGGGAGTAGACTAAATGACAAGGATTTCTCAAACTTTCGCCATAAATGTATCACCTTTACACCTTCTGCTACTTCTATGGACTACCTAAGTGATTTTAACATGTTATTTTTTTCTTTAAATTGTCTCATTCTTTTACCAGAATAAATTTAGTTTAAAAGGAAATTTTTTCTAAGCAATAGTAGCCAAGAAACCACATGATGGTATTGTTACTGATATTTTTTCTGTTTCATAAAAAAATTACTGCATATTCTTAAATAGCACATACTACATGCCAGGCATTGAATCTCTCTTGATAATGTGATGAGGTGGTACTCCTATTATCCCCATTTTATAGATGAGAAAACTATAGGGATGAGTGAGTGAGACCAAGTGAAATACTAAAGCTAAATAACTTGACCAAGTTCACCCAAATAGTAAGAGAGAACTAAGATTAAAATAAGTATATAACTATTTTTTTAACTCATCAATGTATATTCTACTTAAAATGATCTCATATCTACCAATGATTCGTTTGCCTCTCTTGGAGAAACTGCGATCTTGATGGTCTCCAAAGTCCCTTCTGCTGTAAGAGTCTATGCTTCTTTTCCCACACCTTTTCTCCCTGTCATTCAGATGTGGTCATGAAGCCATTTCTCTCTGTCTGGGCAAAAATCTGACTGGATTGGTTGACTTGGAAGGCTCTCTTCTTCCCCTTATCTAAATCTTGCTTTGACTCATCAAGGAGCCAAGATTCTAACACACTTTTGACTAGACCTAGGAGCCTACCAGTTCTAGATAAGACTCCCAGCCTTGGCAATAGAACACCCTCAGGTGATTTGATTTCAGGTACATGAGGGAGCAACATTAGCTGTAGCACAGGACAGGGCTTTAACTGACCAGCCTTTTCCCAAACAACCCAAGCCCACAAATGAGAGAGAGCAGTTTCAGTGCATCCCAATTTGGCTGTTCTTTCCCTGTGACTGTCTCGTGGCCTCAGCCAGCCTGGGCTATTTGCTCCTCTCCACTCCCCTGGACCCCTTCCTCTCCACAAGAATCTGGTCAGTCTAATTGTTTTCTGAGTCCTTAAGCAGATCACCCTTCTCTTGGCTGTAGGTTGCATGTGGGGTTCTCATGACCAAGTTGGTCAGAATGTCTTCTAGGTAATGGCCCAGAGGAACTGAGCAGTGCCTGTAACCTTAAGGTGGTGTTACATTACCTACAGAGCTAAGTCTTAGTCATTAACCCAGTGATTCTGGAACTTAATCTCTGTCTCCTTTTTCCTCAGGAGGTGAAAAATGTCCTGGGAAGGTAAGGAGAGGTTTTCTTTGTTAGAGGAAGGGGTGGCAAGAAGAGTATTTACCTATGTAAAAGATTATTGAGTCAGAAAAACACACTCGGAAGCTTTCCTCATCCTCTTCCCTATGCTCAAAGATCCAATCCTTCATAAAATACTTTCTGGTCTCAGAAGGCTAACTAATGGGCACCTCAGTTGGTGAGCTGCCCAACGTAATTGGACTGTAACATCTTCACAAAGTGAAGCCGCGACAAACAGGGAAATTCTGGGAAGTTCTAAGTCCACAATCTGATGGGACTCCTTCAAAAAACATCTAACCAGTTACAAACCTCCCAGAAAGAGCTGTGAGTAAGACCCACAGCGTGGGCAAGATTCCTTGAGATTCCTTAGGAAGTGATTAAGCATATATCAGCACCCTGCATGTAAAATGAAACGGTGTGCTTGTGTGGTGACCTTGGGCTTGGAGAGAAGGTACAGACTCTCCACATGCTGCAGAGGCTCTTGTGACACAAAAGGCTGGATAGGAAGTAAATCCCATCCCCAGGGATCCTAACACAACAGGTGCTTTTAAATCTGTGTTGAATTAAATTATCAGTCATCCACAAGAGAGGTTGTAGTAGTAGGGTTCAAGGAGGGTGGGGTAGGAGTTTGAGACAGGATATCTAATTGCGTTTCCCCCAGGTGTAAGTCCTGGAACCTGGAACAGCTGAATGTCGTCTCCCCAGACCTGAGAAGTGTGTGCCATGTGCCAGGGCTGAAGAGGATGCTGAGGACGTGTGGAGGTGGGGCAAGTTGCAGGAGTGTCTGATTGGCCCCCTGAGCAGCAATGGGATAACAGGGGTGTAGAATAGGTCCAGATCAGGGAGAGATGTCAGGCCAGAGTAGGTGGGGCAGGAACAGAGCTCAGGAAACTGTCTCCCTCAAAGGTTTTGGCAAGGGCTGGAGCTGGCTGGGGTGTCATTTCCTCACACAGTAAGGCTCAGGCTCACACCCTCATACCCCTACCACAGGAACAGGGTTAGTGACTCCCCATGTTCTCCCGTTCTAACTGTGGTCCTCTCTCTGCAGTACACATCACTCTGGATCCACATACAGCCAATCCATGGCTCATCATTTCAGAGGATCAGAGACAAGTGTGGTTTGGAGACACCCAGCAGAAGGTGCCTAAAAATGAGGAGAGATTTGATAGTTATCCCATGGTCCTAGGTGCCCAGCGCTTGGACTCCGGAAAAGTTTACTGGGAGGTAGATGTGACAGGAAAGGAGGCCTGGGACCTGGGGGTTTGTAAAGACTCTGTGCAGAGGAAGGGGCATTTTCTGCTCAACCCCATGAATGGCTTCTGGACAATTTGGCTGTGGAACAAACAAAATTATGAGGCTGGCACCTGCCCGCAGACTTCCCTGCAACTTTCAGTGCCTCCACGCCAAATTGGGATCTTCCTAGACTATGAGGCCAACACTGTCTCCTTCTATAATATCACTGACCATGGCTCCCTCATCTACACCTTCTCTGACTGTGCCTTTACTGGACCCCTGCGGCCTTTCTTCAATCCTGGTTTCAATGATGGTGGAAGAAACGCAGCCCCTCTGACCCTCTGTCCTCTGAGCGTGGGATGATAGGGGTCCACTGACTTGAGGGCTCCCTCTGGCCAGACACCCCTTTTGATGACACCCCCTCCTCAGTCACTGACCCTGCATTCTAAACCACCTGTGTCTCTGCAGAGGTGTCAGGATACCAACAAGCCAACTTTGACAAGGAGGTCACTGAACATCTATGTCAAATGATCTTCAATATCTATATCCCTGCCCTAGGTAGCTTATAATTCCCTCCATGAAATAAACTACTTATATTTTGGTCCAAATTCATCTGAATCAACAAAAACATTTCTGCCTTCTTTATGTGACTCAAGTTTTGTTCTCTACACCCCATCTCTAGGCCTTTGCTCAGATCTCTATTTTATCATGCATGATTTGCAAAAGTATTTCCTAAATAAATTTCATCTCAACCTACCCCATTCAATCCTTCAATACATATCTGGGATACTCTCCAACATGCGCGCATCTGGATCATAGGTGACTCCACACTACCTATAGAAAACAGCCACATTTATTTAAAGAAAAACTGAATTATGCATACCTTAGATTGCCAAATTAAATATCTGTCCCCTTTCCCACCATTATCTCCCACCCATATCTTGTTGATAATTCAATTGATTAAAGGGCATATCAATCTAAATGGAAGTTGTGATGGTTTTTTTGATGTGTCAACTTGGCTAGGCTCTGAGCCCCCACATTTTTCAATCAAACACTAATCTAAATTTGGTCGTTAGGGTGTTTGATAGATGTCATTGAAGTCCATAATCATTTGACTTTTAAGTAAGGGAGATTGTCCTAGATAAGCTGAGTGGATCTAATTCAATCAGGTAAAAGATCTTAAGAACAGACCTGAGCTTCCCCTGAAAAAAATAGATATTCTACCTATAAAGTGCAGCTTCAGCTCATGCCCAAAAGTTGTAGCCTTGCTTTCCTGATGGCCTGCCTGAGGATTTAGAACTTGTCTTGCCAGCCTCCATAATAGTGTAAATGAATTCCTTGCAATAAACCTCAGTGTGTATCTCTTACTAGTTGTGCTTCTCCAGTTGAACCCTGATTGGTATGAAGGCCAGGAGTAAGGTAACAGCATCACTTAGTGAAAGCAAACACTTTCTTGAGTTTAAACGTTCAAGATTGGCATAATGAAGCTCTACACCTGAGCAATAATAGCTATGAGAGAGCCATAATCCTTCCAGGAACCCTGATTCCTTACCTAAAATAATCTCAGCTGTGCCCTCAGAACATCTGCTAAACATTTCATGAAAAATTCAGGTACTGTAAAAGATGTCGGTGACCTTGAAAGAGCTTATTGATTAAAAAAGAAAAAAGTTGTTTCTATCTTAACACAGAACAGAAAGGAGGTGCTTTGGAGGAAAGCTGAGAACAGAATTCTCAGCCAAGATGAAGACATTACAGGCGCTAAATCAATAGAAGTTGGCAAAATCAACCAGTGCCTTGGCTGATAAACTGGAAGATTATGGAAGAGAATTCAATCCACTATGAATGAGAATGCACTGGGGAATTGTTGGACTCTGTATGTCAGGATCATGGAGAAATTTTTTTTTAAAGAACAGTAGATGATACAGAATCAACTTTTCTGCTTCTCTGTGCCTCTGCCTTGAGGTGGGCCAATGTTAAATGATGGCTTGTTCCCCTCAATTGATATACAAGTGAGAGGAAAGCACCTCAATGAGATAAACAAATATTTTCATTTCTCAAAATCTGAATGCCTTGGCATATTGGGTTACTTTGATGTTTGGACAGGTACATTACACAGATGATATATTACCATCTCTTCGGTCTCTATCAATATTTATTAAGTAGTAGAGATTTTATAGTATCTCAGCTTTTATCCCTACTAATAATTACCAACAAGTGATCCAAGTACACCCCTACATGTCACAAAAAATTCTTTTGAAAAATGAGGAAAAATTCTACCAGCACCAATTTCAATTTTGATTAATGTTATCCTTTAAGATTCAAATAAAACCTGTTGATTTCTGTGATCTCCTTTGATTCTATAACTTCCTTTTGAATTAAAAAAGGCGGAAATTATTAAACCAAAAATTTAAAGATAAAAAGGCTAAGACAGAAGGAAGTTGAAATTTTATGTACAGCTTACTCTGTGTCATACATATTCAAGATCTTGTTATACTTTATATTTTTAGTTCTATCACAGCTGTATGATAAAGGTTTAATCAAAAAATTTAAAGGTTATGGGGTGCTTTTACTTATAAAAATAAGTATTTCATTTCATATTTTCAATATTTCCATCTTTATTGTGGTATAGTTGGCGAATGAAAATTGTATATATTTAAGGTATATACTTAAATACGTATGTATACTTTGTGAAATTATTACCACAACCAAGCTAATTAAAGATTCATTACCTCACATAGCTACCTTTTGTGTGTGTGTGTGTATATATAGTGAGAACACTTAAGATCTACTCTCTTAGCCCATGGCAAGTGTACAATATTATTTAACTATAGTCATCATACTGCACATTAGATCCCCAGAACTTATTCATAACTGCAAGTTTGTACCCTTCAACTCATATCTCCGTATTTGCTCCACCCCTATGCTCCAGCAACCACCATTCTCCTCTCTGTTTCTGAGATTCCACATATAAGAGAGACCGTACAGTATCTGTCTTTGTCTGACTTGTTTCACTTAGTATGTCCTCCAGTGTCATCCACATTGTCACAAATGGCAGGATTTCCTTATTGCTGAATAATAGTCCATTGTATATATACACCATATTTTCTTTTTCTTTCCTTCCAGTTTTATTGAGATATAACCGACATAGCATTTCATAAGTTTAAGGTATAACAACAATGATTTGATATACATATTTTGACATGATTAACACAATAAGGTTATTATCACATCATTCACCTCACATAATTACATTTGTGTGTGTTATGTGTGTGTAGGGAGAAAACTTTTAAGATCTACTACCCTCTTAGAGACTTTCAAATATATAATTCATTGTTATTAACTATAGTCACCATGCTATGCGTTACATCACCAGGATTTATTTATCTTAAAACAAAGCAGAAGTTTTTACATTTTGACTATCTTCAACCACCAACCTGTTCTCTGTTTCTATGAATTCTGATCTTGTTTTGTTTTTAGATTCCACATATAAGTGAGATCATAGACTATTTGTCTACTTTTTTTATTTAGCATGTTTCTCTCAAGGTTTATTCATGTCACAAACGATAGGTTTTCCTTATTTTTAATAGATGAATAGTATTTTATTGTATTTAAAGAGCTTTTTGCATTTCCTTTACTCATTCATCTGTCAATGTACTCTCAGGTTGTTTCCACATCTTAGCTATTGTAAATGTTACAGTGAACATGCAGTGAGGGAGGAGGGAAGTACAGGTATCTCTTCGAGATACGAATTTTATCTCCTTCAGATGTATACTTAGAAGTGGAATTTCTAGATCATATTGTAGTTCTATTTTTAATTTTTTGAGGACCCTCCATACTGTTTTCCACAGTATATGTACCAATGTGCATTCCCATCAACAGTGCATGAGAGTTCCTTCTTCTTCACATCCTTTTTTTCTTCTGACTGCTTAAGAATTTTTATTTTTTGATTCTTTTTTCCATTTGTTATTGTTTATTCTATTACAGTTGTCCCAATTTCTTATTTCTCCTTTTGTCCCCATCTAGTCTACCTGCACCCACCCACAGGTGATTGACCCACAGTCAATCTCTCCTCCATTTTCCATGTCCATGAGTCATTCATACATGTTCCTTGACTAGTCCCTTCCCCTTCTTTCCACCATTCACCCTTTCCCTCCTCCTCTTTGACAGCTATCAGTCAGTTCAATGTTTTCATGTTTCTGGTTCTACTTTTCTCATTAGTTTATTTTATTCATTAGATTCCAGTTATAAGTGAGGTCATATGGTATTTGCCTTTTGCTGACTGGCTTATTTCACTTAGCATAATGGTCTCCAGCTCCATCCATGCTGTTGCAAAAAGTAGGACTTTCTTCTTTCCTTCTGCTGCATAGTATTCCATTGTGTAAATGTACCACAGTTTTTTCATCCATTCATCTGCTGATGGGCACTTGGGCTGCCTTCAACACTTAGCTACTGAAAATAGTGCTGCTATGAACATAGGGGTACATTAGTACTTTTGAATTGGTGTCTCAGTGTTCTTAGGGTATGTTCCCCGTAGTGGAATCACAGGGTCATAAGGAAGTTCCATTTTTACTTTTTTTAGGAAATCCATACCGTTTTCCACAGTGGCTGCACCAGTCAGCATTCCCACCAACAGTGCACTAGGATTCTCTTTTCTCCACATTCTCTCCAGAAATTGTTTGTTGATTTATTAATGATGACCATTCTGACAGGTGTGAGGTGACATTTCAATGTGCTTTTAATTTGCATCTGTCTGATGGCTAGTGATGTTGAGCATTTTTTCTTCTGCATGTGGGCCCTCTGTCTGTCTTACTTGGAGACGTGTCTATTCAGGTCCTTCACCCATTTTTTAACTGGCTTGTTTGTCTTCCAGGTGTTGAGTTGTGTGTGTTCTTTATATATTTTGGAGATTAGACCCTTGTCCAAAGTATCATTGGCAAATAGGTTCTTCCATACAGTCAGCTCCCTTTTCACTTTGACGATGGTTTCTTTAGTCATGCAGAAACATTTTAGTTTGATGCAGTCCCATTTGTTTATTTTTTTTTCTTTTTTTCCTTTGCCCTAGGAGATATATTGGCAAAAATATTGCTGTGATGTCTGAAATTAATGTGGGATGTCTGGAATTTTACTGCCTATGTTTTTTGCTAGGACTTTTATGGTATCATGACTTATATTTAAATCTTTTATCCATTTTGAGTTTATTTTTGTATATTGTATTTCTTTTTTTATTTAATTTATTTATTTTTCCAATACATTTGTCTCTGCCTTCCCCCGAAAACTTTTCCTTGCCCCCTCCCCCCCTTCCTCCCTCAGCTCCTCCCCTTTGGTTTTGTCCATGAGTCCTTGCTATATGTTCCTTGACTTGCCCCTTCCCTTCCCTTTCCCCGCCCCTCCCTTCCCTCTTGTCTCTGTTGATTTCTTTTCCTTTCAGTGTTGCTGGTCTTATTTTCCTTGCATCTTTGTATTGTTGGTTAGGTTCCGCTTATAGGTGAGATCATAGGGTATTTGTCTTTTGTCCCCTGGCTTATTTCGCTTAGCATAATGCTCTTCAGTTCCATCCATGCTGTCGCGAAGTGTAGTAGTTCTTTTTTTCTTTCTGCTGCATAGTATGCCATTGTGTAAATGTACCATAATATTTTGATCCAATCATCTACTGATGGGCATTTAGGTTGCTTCCAACACTTGGTTATTGTAAATTGTGCTGCTATGGACATTGGGGTGCATAGGTTCTTTTCTTTTCTTTTCTTTTCTTTTTTTTTTTTTTTTTTTTTTTTTTGCATGTACCAGTCCAGTCCTCCTAACACCATTTATTGAAGAGACTGTTTTCACTCCATTGTATGCTCATGCCCGCTTTGTTAAATATTAATTGGCCATAGAGACATGGGTTTATTTCTGGGCTCTCTATTCTGTTCCATTAATCTATGTGTCTGTTCTTATGCCATTCCCAGACTCTCTTGATTACAGTGGCCTTGTAACATAG